GAAAAAATACAGAGAGACGAAAGAAGGGGGGCTTCGAAAATATTTACCAGTTTGAAAAAACAGTAGTTTTAAAAATGTATCACAAAACAACTTAACAAATAACAATGTTTATAGACCTTCAATATTCATAAATGGAAGCCAAATGAAAAGTCTCTTATGTTTATGTAAATCAGACAATCCCCATTATAGACCAATTTTAGAACTAGGCAAAGAGACGCAAGTCAAGGCAGGATTTTTGTGAAAATAGTGGGGGAGGTGGAAAAAAATTTTAGGAGAGGTGCAGCAGTTTAGCTCACAACTCCCATGGAAAGTTAGGGCTTATTGTAGAACAGGTCAATGTCAACGAGGTGAGGTATGCATGCAGTGTACATATGTACCAATGTATTAATGAATTATGAATGTATATGACTCCAATCTTGCCCTTCATTACAATTGCTACAAAGTTTCTTTCAAAACATTGCATTAAAAGGGTACTTGACACGACATGAACGGCTATCACTGTTTCAATTTTACAGAGAAAAGTTTCTTACGTCACGAAGTGTAGATCCTAAGCAACCATCACATTTTCACTTTGTTCCATCATTGAAACTTTCCCAAGGGGAGGTGCATGACCTTTTAGGAGAGGTGGAAAAATTCTCAGGGGAGGTGCAAAGGATCTCAGGGGAGGTGCGCACCTCTCCACACTTCCCCTCAAAATCCGGCCTTGATGCAAATAAATCACCACAGCTAGAATGAGCATACTAAAATAAGTAAATTATTGCAAAGTTTGGTTGCGAAATTTTGTAAAATACGGATAATATAGCATTGCAAAGTTTCCAAATTTTGTATACTTTTGTATTGCATGCGAAAATTGCAACACAAAAGAAGACAAAATTTGCAAACTTTGGAAGGCTATATTTTCTACATATTTTACAACATTTCGCAACCACATTAACTTTGCAACTTTACTAATTAAAGTATGCCCTTCCCGGGAAAATACTTTTTTGCTAAGATAAAAATTAGTCTATAATGGAAATTGTTTATTGGTCCCCATTATCTATTTTTGTTTCTTTAAATAAAGATAAAGAACTAGAGGGGGACCAAGATTTATGTTCTTGTTTTGCCTGTTGTGGGGGGGGGGGCTTACTTGTATAAAGAGGGGGGCAACGAAAAAATATTATAACTGTA